CGTCCTGACAACCAATGACATCATCAGCTGATAAGGAGGATGTCAGCTGCCTGCACAGCATCTAGTTTGCCCCTCCCCTGCCACTCTCCATCAGTGCTGGGGTCACTTTAGCTCAGTGATGGAGAAAAACTGAAGGGAGAAGAGAAATACTGGAATACTACTCAGTACCAGTGTGCAAAAGTGGATTTGCTTTGGAAGAATAAATCACCTTTAATATTGGGTGTCCTACATGTGTGGATGTTGCTTTGTTATATAAAACTGTTAGAATAGTTTTTTACATTTTAGAATGGGGTGCCCTTTTAAAATTATGGACAGTCTAGAGGCACCCCATTTTTAGAATGGGGTGCCTCAAGACTGTCCATAATTTTAACCATTAGCCGCCCTGCCAATGGTTGTTTTGCGGGCGGCAAAATCCTTCAGCGTTCCGAGTGGACGCCATATGGTGTCGTCCCGGGCATGCGCAGTTTGTGCGCCTGCAGAGCCACGCAGAGGCGCGATCTGTCACCGGCCGCGTACTTCGGACATGGCCGATGACAGATCTGAGTACCGGCCTCGTTGCCGGTACCATGTGACCTGCTGTGACCAATCACAGCAGGTCACATGAGAGATGTATACAATGGATAGCTTCATTCATGCCATCCATTGTATACTAGTGTGCCTAGCTGTGAATGGTCACAGCGATCACATGCACAAGCTGGGCCAATCACAGCCCATTTGGTCATGTGATTAGCCATGGCCAAATCACAGCTAAGCGCAAAAAAAAAAAAAAGCCCTGAATGAATCGATGTCATTCAGGTAAATGCTTGCTTATAGTAAAGTAATTGTTTGCTATAAGCAAATTGTGTAAAAAAAAAAAAAAAAAAAATACTGATCACTTCCCCAAAGTAGTACAATGTTACTATGGTAACATTGTACTACTTTGGTCAAATTGAAATATGAAAAAAAAATCTTAACAAAAAGAAAAAAAAATTTAATAAAAAAATAATAAAAAAAATAAAAAAAGTTTTTGGTTTTTTTTTTCATACTGTCACCAGTCAGTGTCCCAGATCACCGCCATGCCAGTTATATGATGACGCTGTACTGCACTGGTGACAGATTGTAGAAAAAATTGTGAAAATAATGTTTTTAATTTTTTAATTTTCCGAAACATTATCAGAAAAAAAATACAACTTCAAAAAACTCGCCATGCCTCTTATGAAGTACATCGGACTGTCAACTCTGCAAAAAGGGGTCATTTGCGGGATATCTGTACTGTTCTGACATTCTTGGACCTCAAGAAATTAGATTGGCCGTCAGTACTTCAGGATTGATCAATTTTCAGATCTATCCCATAGTTTGTGAACTCTATAACTTTCCTACAAACTAATAAATACATCCTAATTTAGGTTATTTTCACCAAAGACATGTAGCAGAATACATTTTGGCCTAAATTTATGAAGAATAATTTATTTGCAAACTTTTATAACAGAAATAAAGAAAAACATGTTTTTTTTTCAAAATTTTCTGTCTTTTTTTGTTAATTTAGCAAAAAATAAAAACCCCAGTGGTGATTAAATACCACCAAAAGAAAGCTCTAGTTGTGTGAACAAAATGATAAAATTTTAGTTTGGGTACAGTGTTGTATGACCGCGCAATTGTCATTCAAAGTGTGAGAGAGCTGACACCTGAAAAATGGCCAGGGAGGGAAGGGGGTAAAAGTGCCCGGTATGGAAATGGTTAAAGAGTGCCTCGGCACTGTCCATAATTTTAAAGGGTGCCTTGCCTGAAAAAAGGTTGAGAGACACTGCTGTAGCTTCTACAGCTATGGAGGAGAGACTATGGGAGGAGAGACATCTAGTGGAGAAAGTTATATAATGCAGGTTCCGTAGAACCCGTTAGCTTTAGTAAGGATTAGTTCTGTTATACCTGGATATTGTATATTTATATACATAGGAGAGACAAACTGTTGATTCTGATCATTGTAAAACATCTTTAACAAATACAGGGATGAAAGATGGATTGAAGCACATAACTGAAAATGATTGACGTTTAATAAGTGAGATGTAAACGAACAGGTATGCTTAAACATGCTTTATTAGGTCACAAAGATTTATAGTACTCCCTCTATCCTTGGAGGCCAGTCCAATTTTTGGAAGTCACAACATTAGAGATGAGCGAAGTATTCAAAATTTCGATTCGACTGATTCGGCGAATTCGTGGAAAAATTTTGATTCGAGTCGAATATATTCGCTGCGAATTTAAACTTATAAAAGGGTGTTTCTAGGCTTCAGAGAGCCTTTATATTAGTGCAGAACACTGTACCTTTAATTTAAATGCCCTTGGAGTCTGCTGGGGAAGAGAAATAATACTGACAGTCAGTATGACATGCAGATGAGTGCCGTCGATCTTAGAATCACCGCACACTTCACACATTTGGGCAGTCACGGGGCCAAAACTAGAGTGTGGAGCCACAGTGTGGCGGTGGAGGCAGCAGCAATGGGAGGCCATACAGCACCCTATGACAAAAATGGAAACCGCCAGCAGTGTGAGGAGACCTGAAAGTGGCACATGGCAGAGTGTGGCGATGGAGACAGCAGCAATGGGAGGCCGTACAGGGACCCATGACACACTCTGGACCTGGCAGCAGCATGAGGAGGCGGTACAGGGGCCCATGACAGATTACGGGCCTGGCAGCAGCATGAGGAGTAGGTACGGGGGCCCATGGCAGATTACGGGCCTGTCAGCAGCAATGGGAGGCCCGTACAGGGACCCATGACACACTCTGGACCTGGCAGCAGCATGAGGAGGCGGTACAGGGGCCCATGACAGATTACGGGCCTGGCAGCAGCATGAGGAGTCGGTACGGGGGCCCATGACACACTCTGGACCTGGCAGCAGCATGAGGAGGCGGTACAGGGGCGCATGACAGATTACGAGCCTGGCAGCAGCAACTTGGACAGGAGGACGTTCAGCTTCTGCACCGTCGGTTGCGTGCTCGCAAACTGTTGTCTCTTGGAAACGTATTACAAGAAAGACTGCTGAATCCGTGAAGAGGAGTAGCAGGAGAAGGAGCATCTGAACGAGCGGAATATGCCAACAAGCGACAACAGGGGCCCATGACAGATTACGGGCCTGGCAGCAGCATGAGGAGTCGGTACGGGGGCCCATGGAAGATTACGGGCCTGGCAGCAGCAATGGGAGGCCCGTAATCTGCCAGCACCCTATGACAAAAAATGGAACACACCAGCATGTGTGTGAGGAGACCTGAAAGTGGCATATGGCAGAGTGTGGCGATGGAGACAGCAGCAATGGGAGGCCGTACAGGGACCCATGAGAGACTCTGGACCTGGCAGCAGCATGAGGAGGCGGTACAGGGGCCCATGGCAGATTACGGGCCTGGCAGCAGCAATGGGAGGCCCGTAATCTGCCAGCACCCTATGACAAAAAATGGAAACACACCAGCAGTGTGAGGAGACCTGAAAGTGGCACATGTTTGGGGCATGATTCATGGCGGATTTAGTCAGTTGTGTCAGGAACTGGTGGTTTGAAATCCAGACTAATCCACGCCTGATTCATTTTCACAAACGTGAGTCTCTCCACACTTTGGGTGGACAGTCGTATCCTCCGCGGAGTTACAATACCTCCTGCCGCACTAAACACGCGCTCCGATGCCACGCTACTGGCCGGGCATGACAGCCTTTCAAGGACAAAATTGTCTACCTCGGTTGGCAGGGTGCTGTCCAAGTAGGCCCAAGCCTGTTGTTTGAGGTCCTGCTCCAGGTCCACCTGATGCTGCTGCTGCTGCGGCTGGTTAGTAGTTTCCTCACTGCGCTGGTGAAGAAAGCTACTCATCATCGACTGCAGACTGAGGCAGCCGCTGCTGGTGGAGCTGCCACTGCTCCTACCCCCACCCCTCCCCTGCTGCCATGGCAGCGGAACGCGAGCGCACAGGGCCCACAGTGTCTGAGGATGGACGTTGGCGCAGAAAGGCAGAGACCAGCTGACTACATAGGTGGTTTTTATAGTACGTTATTTTGGCCTCCCTCTCAGCAGGTGTGAAAAAGGCCACCATTTTTGAACGGTAGCGAGGGTCCAACAAGGTGGACAGCCAAAAGTCATCCCTCTGTCTGATGGTTATTATTCGGCTGTCGCTACGCAAGCAAGCGAGCATGCTATGGGCCATTTGTGCCAAGGAATGCGAGGGACTCCCTGCCTCCATCTCCACAGCATACTGCCACGGTGCGTCTGGGTCCTCTGTCTCCTCCTCCTCCTCCTCTATCAGATGCTCCTGCTCCTCCACTCCTGTCCCGCTGAGTGGAAAAACCACCCATTTCACTCAATAATTCCTGAGCACCAATGTCCTCCTCTACCTCCTCCTCTTCTTCCTGTCCTGCCCCCACAGGGGTCATGTGGCGTTGAGATCTGTGCGCCACGTCTACCGCACCCTGACCAGCCATTGTTAACAGCATTTATTCCAGGACATGCAACAGAGGAATGACGTCGTTCATCCCATAGTTCTGCTGACTCACGAATAGCGTGGCCTCCTCAAAGGGCCTGAGCAAGCGCAGGTGTCACGCATGAGCCGCCAATGGCTGACATCTAAGTTACACAGGGAGTACCTTTATCCGCTTGTAACATCAGGAAATCTGTGATGGCCTTTCGCTGTTCGTAAAGGCGGTCTAACATGTGTAGGGTTGAATTCCACCTTGTTGCAACGTCACAGCATGAGGAGTCGGTACAGGGGCGCATGGCAGATTAGGGGCCTGGCAGCAGCTATGGGAGGCCCGTAATCTGCCAGCACCCTATGACAAAAAATGGAACACACCAGCAGTGTGTGAGGAGACCTGAAAGTGGCACATGGCAGAGTGTGGCGATGGAGACAGCAGCAATGGGAGGCCGTACAGGGACCCATGAGACACTGTGGACCTGGCAGCAGCATGAGGAGGCGGTATAGGGGCCCATGGCAGATTAGGGGCCTGGCAGCAGCTATAGGAGGCCCGTAATCTGCCAGCACCCTATGACAAAAAATGGAACACACCAGCAGTGTGAGGAGACCTGAAAGTGGCACATGGCAGAGTGTGGCGATGGAGACAGCAGTAATGGGAGGCCGTACAGGGACCCATGAGAGACTCTGGACCTGGCAGCAGCATGAGGAGGCGGTATAGGGGCCCATGGCAGATTAGGGGCCTGGCAGCAGCTATAGGAGGCCCGTAATCTGCCAGCACCCTATGACAAAAAATGGAACACACCAGCAGTGTGAGGAGACCTGAAAGTGGCACATGGCATGAGACACTGTGACCTGGCAGCAGCATGAGGAGGCGGGTATAGGGGCCCATGGCAGATTAGGGGCCTGGCAGCAGCTATGGGAGGCCCGTAATCTGCCAGCACCCTATGTCAAAAAATGGAACACACCAGCAGTGTGTGAGGAGACCTGAAAGTGGCACATGGCAGAGTGTGGCGATGGAGACAGCAGCAATGGGAGGCCGTACAGGGACCCATGAGAGACTCTGGACCTGGCCGCAGCATGAGGAGGCGGTTGTATAGGGGCCTATGGCTTGAGATTAGGTCCTGGCAAGCAGTCTTATAGGAAGCCATTAATTCTGCGCCTAGAAGCACACAATGAACAAAAAAGATTGGAACTACACCAGCTGTGTGAGGAGACTGAAGTGGACATGGCAGAGTGTTTTTGATGGGCACATAGCATGAGACCGGTGGGACTGGCAGCAGCATGAGGACGACGGTTACAGGGGCCGCATGGCAGATTATGGGGGGCTGGCAGGGCGTATGGGAGCGACCGTAATCTGCCAGCACCCTATGGACAAAAGAATTGAAACAACAGCAGTGTGAGGAGACCTGAAAGTGGCACATCGGCAGAGGTGTGGCGATGGAGACAGCAGCAAGGGAAGGCCGTACAGGACATGAGACACTGTGGACCTGGCTAGCAGCATGAGGAGGCGGAAGGGGCCCATGGCGATTAGGGGCTGGCAGCAGCTTTGGGAGGCCCGTAATCTGCCCGCACCCTATGTCAAAAAATTAACAACCGCAGTTTAGGAGACTGAAAGTTGCACATGGCATGAGGGAAACCCCGTGGGTGGCAGCAGCATGAGGAGGGGAAGGGGCCCTGGAGTTTGGGGGGCCCGGCAGCAGTAGGGAGGGCCGTAATTTCCAGCACCCTATGCAAAA